CGGAATTTATTCAGGAGAGGCAATTTTGTGTTTCTGGATCAATAACCAGAAGAGGGTGAGTATTTTTGGAGTTCTATATAGGAGGGCAAATTTGTGTTTCTGGATCAATAACCAGGAGAGGGTGAGTATTTTTCGAATTCGATATAGGAGAGGCATTTTTTGTTTCTGGATCAATAACCAGGAAAGAGTGAGTATTTGGGGGATTTTTTTCAGGAGAAGCAATTTTGTGTTTGTGGATCAAAAACCAGGAGAGGGTGAGTATTGTTGAAGTTATATACAGGAGGGGCAAATTGTGTTTTTGAATCAATAACCAAGAAAGGGTGAGTATTTTGGGGAATTTATTCAGGAGAGGCAATATTCTGTTTGTGGATGAAAATCCAGGAGAGGGTGAGTATATTTGGAGTTCTATACAAGAGGGGAAATTGTGTTTGTGGATGAATAATCAGGAGAGGGTGAGTGTTTTGGGGGTTTTGTATAGGAGGGGAAATTTGTTTTTCTGGATCAAAAATAAGGAAAGGGTGAGTATTTTGGGGAATTAATTTAGGAGAGAAAATTTCTGTTTGTGGATCAATAACCAGGAGTGGGTGAATATTTTTGGAGTTCTATACAGGAGAGGCAATATTGTGTTTCAATGTCAAAAAACAGGAGAGGGTGAGTATTTTTCGAGTTCTATTCAAAAGTGGCAAATTGTGTTTGTGGATTAATAATCAGGAGAGGGTGCATATTTTTGGAGTACTATACAGTAGAGGGAACATTGTGTTTCGGGATGAATAACCAGGAGAGGGTGAGTATATTTGGAGTTCTATATAGGAGGGAAAATTTGTGTTTCGATATCAAAAACCAGGAGAGGGTGAGTATTTTTCGGGATCTATACAAGAGAGGCAAATTTTGTTTCTGGATCAATAACCAGGAAGGAGTGAGTATTTTGCGGATTTTTTTCAGGAGAAGCAATTTTGTGTTTCTGGCTCAGTAACCCGGAGAGGGTGAGTATTTTTGAGAATTTATAAATCAGAGGCAATTTATGTTTGTGGATCATTAACCAGGAAAGTGTGAGTATTTTTCGAGTTCTATGCAAGAGAGGCAAATTGTGTTTCGGGATCAATAACCAGGAGACGGTGAGTTTTTTTGGAGTTTTATATAGGACAGGCATTTTTTGTTTCTGGATCAAAAACCAGGAAAGAGTGAGTATTTGGGGGATTTTTTTCAGGAGCAGCAATTTTGTGTTTCTGGATCAATAACCTGGAGAGGGTGAGTACTTTTCAAGTTCTATACAAGAGAGGCAAATTGTGTTTGTGGATCAATAATCAGGAGAGGGTGCATATTTTTGGAATACTATACAGTAGAGGCAACATTGTGTTTCGGGATCAATAACCAGGAGATGGTGAGTATTTTTCAAGTTCTATACAAGAGAGGCAAATTGTGTTTCTGGATCAATAACCAGGAAAGGGTGAGTATTTGGGAGATTTTTTTCAGGAGAAGCAATTTTGTGTTTCTGGATCAATAACCCGGAGAGGGTGAGTATTTTTGAGAATTTATAAACCAGAGACAATTTATGTTTGTGGATCATTAACCAGGAAAGAGTGAGTATTTTCGGGATTTTTTTCAGGAGAAGCAATTTTTTGTTTCTGGATCAATAACCTGGAGAGGGTGAGTATTTTTGGGAATTTATAAACCAGAGGCAATTTATGTTTGTGGATCATTAACCAGGAAAGGGTGAGTATTTTTCGAGTTCTATACAAGAAAAGCAAATTGTGTTTCGGGATCAATAACTAGGAGACGGTGAGTATTTTTGGAGTTCTATATAGGACAGGCGTTTTTTGTTTCTGGATCAAAAACCAGGAAAGGGTGAGTATTTGGGGGATTTTTTTCAGGAGAACAATTTTGTGTTTGTGGATGAAAAACCAGGAGAGGGTGAGTATTTTTGGAGTTATATAAAGGAGAGGCAATTTTAAACATTGATGTACATATAGATGAATACTTAATGTCATTAAAAAAGAAGAGGCGGGTTTCAAACCCCGGCATCCCACGCAAAGGATAACGTCATCGCCTCTGAGCTATCCCAATGCTCGCCTTTCTCGTCGGAGCAAAAGTCCTTCCTAAGCAGCATCATGGAACTGGAGTGCTCGGCAAAAACACTCCTCGGCCAGGTTTTAAACGACCTGAGGGAGGGAGTAATAAACCTAGCACGGAGTGCCCTATAGCAGCTCAGAAATTGGCCCGGTCAGACTTGAAAGGTGAACTGTGGACAGGCAAAGAGCATCCCCACAGACTGGGTGGGGACGAGGACGCACGTGTGAACATGCTCCTCCTCCAAAGGTGCGAACGCGTGCATCGGGCGCTAAGAGCACTCGGTGGGAGAAGGAGCTGCAGTGACGTTTCCCGTTCGGAACTCTGGCAAAGCAGAGGCCCCACCAGGCTTTCCCGTTGGGAAAAGCAGAGCACGGAGGGCCAGGTGCCAAGCACGCTCCCCCCAGCCTCCAGGATGGTGGCGATTGAGGAACGAAACATTCGAAGCAAAGCGCAAAAGGAAAGGAGGAACATAAGCACCTTCATTCGCAATATACGCTTCGGGGTCATTTTTGGGGGCTGATCCGCCACTTCTCCTGTCTTCCGAGGGCCCCGACGCGTGTTTCAGAAACGCGGAGTTAAAGGTAAGGTACACCTCTCAGTATGGATTTAAATATATTTTCATTCGAAGTCTACTGTCTCCAACAAAACGCTCCGAAAGAAAACGTCTCCTTTTAGGCCACTCCCAACGATTTTTCACCTTTCCCCTCTAATTTGACTTATTTTTTTTTTTTTTTTTTATTGAAAGTTTTATAAATTTTACAAAAAAGGAAAAATAATACAAAACAAGAGGCAACATATACAGAAAAATAAAACTAAACAATACATATATTAAATAAAAAAAAAAACCCCATCCCCCAGCCCTCCCAAAAAAAAAAACAAAAAAAAAACCCTCCCTTCCCCCCCCCCTGAGCTTCCCAGAGCAGAATATAGGCTTAAAAAATAAAAATAAAAATTAAATTAAAAACTTTATATTTATATATATAAAAAAATTATCTATAATATATATGAAAATAAAACTTATGAAAAAACTATATAATATTTTTGTATACCCAATCTAAATTGTATAAATTTTATCCATTTATCCCAAACAGCAAAAAACTTCTCTTGCGTTTGTTGCTTTAAGAAAGCCGAAATCTTTGCCATTTCTACCAGATAAGCTACTTTAAGAAACCATTCCTGCAATGTAGGCAAAGATTCCTTCTTCCAGTATTGTCCTACTAACAGCCTAGCGGCTGTGATCAAGTTTAACATCAATACAACCTCCTTTGTATCACAATCTGTAACAATACCTAACAAAAATAATTGCGGAGTAAATTTTACCCTCCTTCTAAAAATTCTCTGGATATTCCACCATATTTTAATCCAAAATGCTTTTATCTCTCTGCATGACCACCAAATATGATAATAGGAAGCCTCCTTATAACCACATCTCCAACATTTGGGTTGCACGTCAGGATACATATAAGACATTTTTTGTGGATCAAGGTGCCATCTATAAAACATTTTATAAAAATTCTCCCTTAAGTTCTGTGCTTGAGTAAATTTGACATTTCTCACCCAAATAGTTTCCCAGGTGTCCAATGAAACTGGCTCACCAAAATTCTGCGCCCATCTAATCATACAATCTTTAATTAGTTCCGTTTCTGAGTCCAATTCAACTAAAACCCCATAAATTCTCTTAATGTGGGTTTGTCTTTGATCCTTCAGTTACTTAATAAGATTTTCATCTTCTCTAAGAAAACCCGAGTCTATAAATTTTTTCCACTTCTCTCTGTAATTCTCCTTTATCCATATCCAAGGCCAGCGCCAGATCAGTAAGGACCACCTCCACCAAATCTTGATTGATATCTTCCTTGAGGCCTCTAATCCTCAGGGCATACTCCATCTGTCTGTACTGAAACATCAAAATATCTTCTTGTGAGGAGTCCACCTTCCTTTCCACGTCTTGAATTTTGTCATCCAAAGAGTCAACTTTGTCTTCCACTTCCTCAAGCCTTGCGTCGAGCTTAACCACCACAGTAGCCAAACCTGAAACAGCTGCCAATATATCTTGTCGTAGTTCATTATTATTTTCTTGCAATTTAGACTTTATCCCCGTTATCTCTTCTTTGAGATCAGATTTAATTTCTGATTTAATCTGTGAAACAAATTGATTCATTTCCTCTCTCATTTGAACTACAATCTCTCCCATTATGCCTCTAACCTCTTGTACTGAAAGTCCAGGTAGAGGAGGGGAGGGTGGTGGCTGAGCCGGTGGTACATGTTTAGATTGTTGTTGTAGCTGTGCAGTGGAAGTTATAGGAGAAGAAATAACCTTAGGTGCTGAGGAAGGCTGCTGCCTCTTTGAAGCCATTTTAAAAAGCACAATTGTCACTTCCCTTTCCCCTCCAGCCAAAAAGGGAGGAGGAAAGAAAAAAAAAAAATTTTTTAAAAAGAGACAAACTATAATCATTAAAAGTCCAGAGTAAATCCAAAGAATAAGTAGTAAAAGAGCAAACAGTTCAAAAGAAAAAATTCTAAACCAAAAGCAAAAGCAGAAGCAAAAAACAGTCCTTAGAAAGGGAAAGTAAAACAAAAGAGAAAGGAAAAAAAACTCCGACAGTTTCAAAACGCCATCTTAAATCCTTTCACTAGTATAACAAAAAAAAGGAGGAAAAATAGTAAAAATCAAAAGATAAAAAAATAAACACCTAAAATATAACAAAAAATCCTTTAAACTGCTCCGTCCGTTTAAAAATTACTCACCAAAATGCTGTAAACACGGAGATAGAAGCGGCGGTTTCTTTTGCTTCCTAGGAAGCAAAAACAGCTGGGAGGCGGAGATCAGCAAGAGCTCCGAGGGAACACTCCTTTCACCCCCTCTAGAAATAAATCCAGAGGGGGTTCAGGGGTTCTACCTCTACTCTTGCGTTCTCTGTCCCTTCCCTTTGCCCGGGAAGGGATTTCCGAGCCGCGGGCCAGCTGATGCGCGCTGCGCTCCGCGGCTCTGACACTTCCCCAGCTGGACGGCTAAAAGCTAGCCGCCATCGCCGTCGCCTCCCACCGGAAGCTCCGCTAATTTGACTTATTTTGATCAGTTTTTAATCTGTTTTTAACCGTTATTTATGAACAGTTTTAATTCGTGAGTATTTGCGGAATTTTATGCAGCACAGCCAGCTTTGTGACTTTGGGACATAAGCAGGAGATGGTGAGTATTTGTGGAATTTTATAGAGCACAGTCAGAGAGATTTCTTTTGACAAATCATCAGGAAACGGTGAGTTCTCTTCAAACGTTCGGCACGACAGCCAGTAGCAGGACTTTGGGCAAGTAAGTAGGAGACAGTAACTTCTCTTGCAGTTGGAAAGGTCAGATCTGGTCTTATAATTTGCAGAACAGCCAGCTGAGAAACTTTGGTCCCCAAACCAGGAGATAGTGACTTCTAGTGCTGCAATGTGCATGGTAAGTTTATTCCTGCAATATGATTGACAGCCGGCTGAGTGACTTTGGACCAATAAGCAGAAGATGGTAACTACTACTTCATTTTGGAAGATAAGTTCTAGTCTTGTAATATGAAGAATGGCCAGCTGAGTGACTCTGAGCCACTAAGCAGGAGATTGTGAGTTTTCTTAGGCACAAAAGCCAGCAACATGAGAAGACGGTGAGTTCTAGTCTTGCTATACATACAAGAGGTGGATTGATGACTTTGGGCCCATAACTAGAAGACGGTGACTTGTAGTCCTGCAATAGGCCGGGTAAGTTCTTCAATTTGCATGACAGCTGGCTGTGTGACTTTGGATCAATAACCAGGAGACCATGACTTCCATTCCAGCAATAGGTTTCATGAGTTCTACTCCGGCTGAGTGACTTTGGGCGAATCCCAAGGAGAAGGTGAGTTCTACTCCTGCAATTTGCATGATAGCCAGCTTTGCGCCAATAACCCAAAGATGGTAATTTCTATTCCTGCAATAGGCGTGGTGAATTCTACTCCTGCAGTCTATATGAGAGGTGGCTGAGTGACTTTGGACCAATCATCAGTTGATGGTGAGTTCTAGTTGTCCAATAGGTACCAAAGTCTTCCTTCCTTCCTTCCTTCCTTCCTTCCTTCCTCCCTCCCTCCCTCCCTCCCTCCCTCCCTTTCCTCCCTGCCTCCTTTCTCTTCCTCTCTCTCCTTTCTTCCTCCCTCTAGCAGAAGGCCATCTGAGTAACAGGCCAATCCTTCTTTCTCAGCCCATGAAGGAGGCCAAAGGAAACCACTTCTGGAAAATGTTCCTAGAAAAGCACACGGAGTTCTTCCGACAGTCTCCGAGAACTGGAATGTGACTCAACGGGAGAGAAAAATAGCAACAGATGACGGGGATGGGAGGGATCCTCCTCAGCACATCCCATCCCGGCGAAGACCTCAGTGATGCTGGGCAGAGGCCCCCTTGTCCCCCAGCCAGACCAATGTCCCCTGTTGCCTGATCCGAAGTCAACGACTGAAGTTAGAGCCCGGCCATTTCACCTGGCAGTTGCTGAATGAGCCACAAACACTCGGTGCTGCTCCGTATCATCCGAGAAGTGTAGAGTCCCCACAACCCATGAATCTGAACCGAACTCATCTGGATGTGTGGTCTGGGAATTCTGGGAGTTGAAGTCCAAACATCTCAAAAATCGCCAAGTTGGAGAAGCACCGATTTAGAGGCTCCCCGATTCCAGATGGCTGTGGGCAGCTGACTTTCCCCGACAGAATCATCAAAAGAACCAAGAAACAGACCGTGAGCATCCAGGAGACCCACTAAACATACGGCAACCTCCGAGGGTTTCTCTGCCAGCCTGCCCGACGTCTAACACCGAACCCAGTTTCGCAGTGACCTGACTGGCACACAGAACTCTACCTGGACTCGTCTCGATTTGATTCATAATTTATTCCTAATAAATGTCACAAGACAAATCATGATACCCAGTGAGTCCTGAATCCCCTTCATTTTGACTGCCAGCTGCCCTCTGGGTGCATCTCAGAACTTTGTGGTACTCCCCTTCTCTATTTGAGCTTCCTTTTGCGTCCTCTGCCCCATGCCGGGTCTGGCTGCTCACTGTCAGCAATTTCATAGACGGTGATGCGCAGTTTGTCCAAGCCTCCCTTCTTCAGATTGGGGGGGGCCCTCTCCTTCCCTGCCTTGGACCCCAGGGTGCCCTGCCGATTGCGCACCTCGCTCAGGAAGTGCTCCAGTTCGTGCTCCATGCAGGCCAGCTGGTGGGCATACGCCTGGAGGGCAGGGTTGGTACCCAGTGGGGTGGATCTAAACTCGGGTTGGGCTGGGACGAGGACCTGAGACTCGTAGCCACACGACTGGTCCCCGTCGTCTTCTGGACAGGACATTCGGACCTCCTGCATCAGAGAAGAAAAATAAGAGGAGACCCCCTTTAATTAATCCGTTAACAATCGATTGTAATTTCTCAATGAATGAATGACCACTCATAGTTTCTTCATTAACTAATTAGTGAGCACTCATAATTGCTTCATTAATCAATGATCTGACTTGTTTGTGCAGACCCAACCATTGGGGGCCATTGAGTGTGGATTCTGTGACATCTCACAGAATAATAGAATTCTAGGGCTGGATCCTATACCGCTCCGGACAAATGATTGTCCAGAAAACCTCCAGAGTTGAAGCACCTGCAACACTCTGTCTGCCTCTGTCTGTCGGTCTGTCTATCATCTATCTGTCAATATCATCTATCTCATCTCTATCATCTGTCCATCTTATATATCTGTCATCTGTTTGTCTATCTACCTACCTACCCTTCTATATCTGTCTATGTGTCTGTCTATCATCTATATATGTGTGTGTGTGTTTGTGTGTGTGTGTGTGTGTGTCTGTTTTTTGAGGTTTTGCGAGTATTTGTATGTAGGTCTTTGGTTATTTGGGTTTTCTCCTGCATCAAATTGGAAGTGTCTTGGCGACGTTTCAACGAAGTCTCATTCGTCATCTTCAGGCTGGTGTTTTCGGCTCCGTGCTTCTAGGAGCACGAAGCCGAAAACACTAGCCTGAAGATGACGAATGAAACTTCGTCGAAACATTGCCAAGACACTTCCAATTTGACGTGGGAGAAAACCCGAATAACCAAAGACCTACATATGTGTCTGTCTATCTACTATCTATCATCTATCTGTTTTATCTATCTATCATCTATCCGTCTATATATCTATCATTTATCTGTCTATATCATCAGTCTTATTTATCTCATCTATCTATCTTACATATGTCATGTTTATCTCTCTATCTACCTATCTATCATCTCTATATCATCTATCTCTCTTATCTATCATCTATCCATCATCTTCTGTTTATCTATCTATCTATCTATCTATCTATCTATCTATCTATCTATCTATGTGTCATCTATATGTGTGTCTGTCTATCGATCTATCATCTATATCAGTGGTTCTCAACCTTCCTAATGCCGCGACCCTTTAATACAGTTCCTCATGTTGTGGTGACCCCCGACCATAAAATTATTTTCTTTGCTACTTCATAACTGTAATTTTGCTACTGTTATGAATCGTAATGTAAATATCTGATATGCAGGATGTATTTTCATTGTTACAAATTGAACAAAATTAAAACATATGTAATTATATATTGTGAAATATTTATTTCTAATTACAAATAAATAAAATTTTGTTTTGAAGCATGGTGTAGCATGGGTAACAGTCTTAATATAACAACAATAAACTACATTGCTACATTTTGCGACAGTGTGCATAAAAAGCCAAGTCAGTGCGAAGGTTGAGATTGCTTCTTTCTCACCAGATCAGAAATTCTCGGGGCAGTCTTTGCAAGAGCACAACGAAGGTCATCTTCCACAACAAGTCTACTTCTGTATTTAGATTTGATAACCAACAAGCTGGAAAACCCTGTTTCACAAAGATATGTTGTTGGAAATGGAATGTTCCTTGCTTTGGAAAATAAATTGATCCTCTCTTCTGTAGCAGCCCATCAAATACAGGAATATTGCTATCATGTCTCCCACAAGTCCTTCTTTTCTCTAGACTAGCCAAACCCAAATTCTGCAACTAAGTCTCAACATCTTTTCTGTAGTGTGATGACCAAAATTGGATGCAGTATTTCAGGTGTGGTCCCGACTCAGAAAATTCAGACACCAGTCTTGCTAGCCCTCTCTCGCAGCCCTGGCGGGGAATAGGTGGGGCGGCTACCACTTTCCACCTCGTGCTGAACGAAGGATCCGGGGATGGATTTTAAGGAAAGGACGGGTCAAAGGAACGGAAAAAGAGGAGGGGGAGTTTGATGCTGTTACCTTGGTATCCACAGTGGGCCCCTCCCAATAGCCAATTCGCTCTTTGAAAAGATTCACGAAAGCGAGTTTGGCCGGCTTCACGTACGAAACCTGATTCTTTTTGCTCATGATCGAGGATTGAAGAGACAGCAGCTCCAATCATTCATCCATTTTGCTTCCGCACATGTCACGTGGGAGGAACTGCTCTCAGCGACTTCCTTTCCCTGCTTGCCAATGGTTGCGTCCATCTTGGCTTCAGGGCAGGAGCTGTGGCTGCCTGGGCGCCTAATTTAAAGAGGGCGCCACTTCAGCGCTAAACGGAGACGGAACTGAAGGGATTGAAAGAAGAGGATGGTGTCCGAGAGCACCAAGTCAGGTGGCTAAGAGAGGACGACTAGTGGGAGGCTAAAATGAGTCTACACTGCTTTCTACACAGTAGCTGCTCTCTACACATGTGTGACTGGTCCACATAAGTACATCCGCCTGGAGACGGATAGAGGAGCGGTGTCTCAGTTCCTAAGACCATCGGAAATATGTGAAAGGGTCATTCAACCCCCAAAGGGGTCGCGACCCACAGGTTGAGAACTGCTGGTCTATATCATCTATTATCTATATATCATCCATCATCTTTCTGTCTGTCTTATCTATCATCTATCCATCATTTGTTTATCTGTCTGTGTATCTATTTATATCATCTATCTCTTATCTATCATCTATCCATCTATATATCATCTGTTTGTCTATCTATCAATCGATGTGTCTGTCTATCATCTATATGTGTCTGTCTCTATCAATCGTCTATCATCTCTGTCATCTATATCATCCGTCTTATCTATCATCTATCTGTGTCTATATCTAGTTATCTATGTGTCTGTCTATCATCTATATATGAGTCTGTCTGTCTACTATCTATCATCTGTCTTATCTATCATCTATCCGTCTATATATCTGTCTATATCATCTATCTCATCCATCCATCATATATGTCATCTGTTTATCTATCTGTCTGTATGTCTCTGTATCTATCATCTATCCATCTATTTAGCTACAGATAGAATAGAATAGAATAGAATAGAATAGAATAGAATAGAATAGAATAGAATAGAATAGAATAGAATAGAATAGAGGTGGAAGGGACCTTGGAGGTCTTCTAGTCCAGCCCCCGGCTCAAGCAGGAGAACCTATATCGTCTCAGACAAGTGGATGTCCAGTCTCTTCTTAAAAATCTCCAGCAATGGAGCACCCACGATTTCTGGGAGTAAGCTGTTCCACTGGTTGATTTTCCTCAGTCAGGAAATTTCTCGGTTGCAGGTTGCTTCTCTCTTTGGTCCTTCCCCGGTGCTCCAGGATTTATGAAGGATGTGATGCAATGGTTTTGAGATAACCTCTGCCAGCTTGTTCAGAACTTTAAGATGTAGTCTGTCGGGCACCTGTGATTTATTTTCATCAAGATTCCCATTTTCTTGCTTATTTTAATTTTTGTTTCTGGTATGTCTTTTGCAGTGATTTTTTTGGTGTGTTGGGCTGTAGTATCTTTTTGTGTGAAGACTGACACAAAGTATGAGTTAAGCAGCTCTGCTTTCTCCCTGTTGCCTATAATTTCTTTACCATCTTCTCCCTTTACCAGGCCTACAGTTTCCTTGATTTTTTTCTTGTTGTTATTATGTTGGAAGAAGCTTTTTTTATTGTCCTTGATTTCTGTTGCTAGCCTTTGTTCGTTCTGAGCCTTTGCTTTCCTGACTTCATCTTTGCACGCTCTGGCTGTCTCCTGGTAATCATCATTAGTTATGTGCCCCTCTTTCCATTTTTTATATTTGTCCTTTTTGTCTTTTAGTTAGTTAGTGATAGAGGGAATCGAAATTACCGGAATCCTGGGCGAAAGTGACCACGTCATACTAAAATTTAATATAATGCAAACACCAGCAATAGAAAACAATCCAACCAAGGTCCCAAACCTGAAAAGAGCCGACTTTAACAAACTAAGAGAGAACCTAGGAAAAATCCCATGGATGGAAATCCTAAAGGGGAAAACAACCCAGGAAGCATGGGAAACCCTGACAAATGTGATCACAAAAGCCCAAACCAGCACAATACCACTGAGAAAGAAAAACAAGAAATCCAAGAAGAAACCAGCATGGCTGCACAAAAAACTCACTAACTAACTAAAAGACTAAAGTTTGCCCTGTTTGTTCCCCAAGCTTTGAGCGTTTGTGTATAAGCATTTAAGATTTTTATGCCTGTCCATGGGGGTGTTTCCTGTGTTTCCTGGTTGTTGTTTGAATTCTTTTTTTTTTTCATCTCTGCTTACCTCATTGTTGGGTTTGCTTTCTTGAGATTTGTGATTGGTTTTGGGTTCTAGAGTTTCTAGAGATTGGTCATCTTCCCCCCTTAAAGCCCTCCTGATGAGCTGGGCCACTCTTTTTCCAAGTACATTTTTGCCTGTTTTCATGAGGTGTAGCCCATCTCTTGCCAATAGTCCTTCATGTAAGAAGTGCAGTCCATAATCCAGGAAACCAAAGTTTTCTTGGCAACACCAACCTTTTAGCCAATGGTTTATTTTTAAGATTCCTTTTTCCCTCAATGGATGTTGGCCTTTCGTTGGGAGTACAGATGAGAACACTACTTGTGCTCCTAGCTTCTTGAATTCATTGCCTACATGTTTTTAGTCCCTCACTATTGTACTCAAGTTGTCGGTTGTGTCATTCTCTATCTAACTCTATCCACCTATCCATCTATCTATATATCAGCTGTCATCTATTTATCTGTCTATCTATCTCTATTCTCTCTCTCTCTCTCTCTCTCTCTCTCTCTCTCTCTCTCTCTCTCTCTCTCTCTCATCTTTTTGCCTGTCTCTCTGTCTTTCTGTCTCTCTGTTATCTGTCTTATAGAGTTATAGGGCTGGAGGGGACCTTGGATGTCTTCTACTCCAGGGATGCCCAACCTATGGTCCGCGGCCCACTGCCGGTCTGTAGCCTACTGGCCACTGGGCTGCAGGACAGGCCCCCAGAAGTTCTGGAGGTAAATGGTTCTGCTGATTAATTGCCCTGTCAGAAAATTTCTTCTTAGTTCTTGGTTGCTTATCTCTTTGATGATCTTCCATCTACAGTATTGCTTCTTGCCCTATGGGCTTCAGAAAATAGGTCCACCTCGTCTTCTCAAGTTCTCAGCCCTCCAGCTGCTGTGTCCCCAGCCTTACCTCCCAGCATTTCTCTCCTCTCTCGTCCAGCTCCTGGGCACACTGGTTCCTCCTGAGGCACAAGCAGCGAATGGCGTAGAAGACAAACAGCCAAATGGCACCGATGCTGCTGAGCAGAACCAGGGTGGACAGCCAGGGCCCCCCACTCTCCACGCTGCTGTGCCGATATCGCAGCTGCTGCTCACAGGGGCCATTTGTGCCCAGGCTCTCCCCACTGGACAGGGGCCCATCCAGCAGTGCCCAGGCCATGATCAGGAGGCAAGGGTTTCTCCGGACATCCATGGCCACTGCTGGGCTCCCACTGGAACATTCCAGAAGCTCCTGAGTGGGGAAAGTCTCCCATTATGAGTTGGCTGCCTCAACGTTCTCTGTGGGCAACCAAGAGCAAGAGGTTCCAAGCCAGCGTTGGGGCTAAGCCAGGATGCTACCCATCAGGGGCACTTTAAAACATTTTAGTCTTCTTTTTTTGAAAACTTAAGGATCTCCCAAACTTTCTTCGTAGCTGCCTTGCAGGACTCCAAATTCAATCCAGAGGCTGAGCGTTGAAAACCAAGGGGGGCTTGAAACTTGCAACTTAATTCAAAGGAACAGCCAGCCAATCCACCATGCCTTCTTACAGCCCATTAATTACCACCATCTTTGCTCGGGATCTTTCTTCCCCAATTATTTTTCTATCTCTGCATATTCCAGAGTTCACCTAAGTCCTATAAAGGAGATGGTGGGAGACTTGTACTTTTTAGACTCATTGATGTCAGCCTTCCCAGGTGGGACCAAACAGGAAACATGACTAGGTGAGCTTATTTATTGTAAGGCTACATTAATGAGTTTTAGAAGTTTGAAAATACAAATCTCCCACCGTCTCTTTGATACTCTGATAACTTAGGGAGGGGGTCCAGCTATTCTCCAAAGCACTAGAGGGCAGAACAAGAAGCAATGGATGGAAACTCATCAAGGAGAGAAGCAACCTGGAACTAAGGAGAAACTTCCTGACAGAACAATTAACCAGTGGAACAGCTTGCCTCCAGAAGTTGTTGTGAATGCTGCATCTCAGCCTCTTTCTCCTTCCATTCTACAGTCGAGGACTAAACAGTCTCTTATCTGACTGTTTCCTAGGCAGCAACTCTTCCTCCTGGCTCACATTTATTTCCCAGAATTCTCCAGTGAGCATACTTCAAGACAGATGGACTTCAACTCCCAGAATTCCCCAACCAACAGGCTTCAAGATGGGTGGACTTGTCAGAACCCATACCATATCTATCCTATTCCATACTTCCCTGCCTCTCTTTCTCTCGTTTCCCAATTCCATTCTCTCCTCTCCCTGGGTTCTGCCATACTCCTAGAGGGGAGGGGGGAAGGAGCACGGGTTTATTGCCTTAGCTTCCTTCTTCACTGCAATGTAACACTTTGCCTTCGCTTCCTTTATTGCTCTAATGTAACACTTCGCGTTCCTGCACTGTGTCTCTCTCTGAACTTTCGTCTCCCTAACCCAGCCAAGCTGGCTCAGGAATTCTGGGAGTTGAAGTCCACGAGTCATAAAAGAGCCAAGGTTGCCTACCCCTGCCCTAACCTGTCAGCTAGCAAAAGGGGAGGGGGGCAAAAAGAAATACAAACCTCCGGAGCCTGGCTTATTTTTCCGCTCTCAAGAAAAGGTACGAAGAGCCGTTTGAACATCACTGCTACGACCAGAGCTGGACCGATGTAATGTCCCCTTTCCCAGGATGGACTTAACACCTGGGGATTGGCCGGTTTGAACCATCTGGATGAACTATGGGGTGGGGTTTGCTTGGGGATTCTTTAACCTATCGATCTGTAAAGGAATCCCTCAGACCCTGTCTAGTATGCCTGCCATCACTTTCTCCTAATAAAAGTTCCTTTTGGAAGAGCCTGCTTCCACGAGTTCTGCTTTCCTGGGATGAGGTGTTGAAGTGGGTCCTGACAGGACTTCAGCTCCTAGCAAGCTTTAAGACAGGTGGACTTCAGCTCCCAGAATTCCCCAACCAACGTGCTTCAAGATGAGTGGACGTGCGTGGCTGGCTGGGGAATTCTGGGAGTTGAAGTCCACCCATCTTGAAGTTGCCAAGGGCGAGACACACTCTGCTAGACTCTAAATAGCTAGTGGGTAAAACTTCAAAAGAAGGACAGGTAGGCAAGCAAAATTGGGGGATGTTTTTTTCTCCTCGGAGAGGGAGGGACCCCGGATGTTTATCGGGGGGGGGGGAATTAGACCACGGTGGAAAAGATGAGGAGGGCTCATTCAGATCAGGCATCTGATCGTGTTTTATAGGAGCAACCCCTCCCTTTTAATTTCTAATTTGATCCTTTGTTTTTTAAAAAATTCGCTCAGGTGCCCGGAGGCCTTTTCCAGCAGAAATGGAAGGATATCTCTTAGATCATTTTGAGCGTGGGGGGGGACATGAAGCCCCAGGGGTCTCCCAAGCAATTGCAGCACCTGCTCCCCCCACCCCTCCATCCTGGGTGCTGCCCTTTGAATTCTCCCAGCACTTATCAAATATTTGCAGCAGGCTAATCATTAACCAGCCACCCTTTACGAGCGAACGGCCCGCTGGGTGGAGCTGATCTGACTTTGCCCGTTTCCTGGATGGGTGTGGGGGGGCTCTCTCTCCCCAGCAGCAGCCAGAGAGGTGCAGCACTAGGCTGGCAGCCCTTGGAGAAGGTAAGGGGCTCCTTGGGTGACGGAAACATTGCTCCTTCCTTCCTTCCTTCCTTCCTTTTTTCCTCCCTCCCTCCCTCCCTCCCTCCTTCCTTCCTTCACCCCTTTCTTTTTTCCTTCCTCCCTCCCTTTGTATTTCTTTCCTTTCTTTCCTTATTTCCTCCCTCCTTGTCTCGTTCCTGTCTTTTCCTCCCTCCCTCCCTCCCTCTATCTCCTTCCTTCCTTCCTTCCTTCCTTCCTTCCTTCTTCTCCTCCCTCCTCCTTCCTTCCTTCCTTCCTTTTTCTCCTCCCTCCCTCCTCCTTCCTTCCTTCCTTCCTTCCTTTTTCTCCTCCCCCTTCCTTCCTTCTTCTCCTCCCTCCTTCCTTCCTTCCTTCCTTCCTTCTTCTCCTCCTTCCTTCCTTCCTTCCTTCTTCTCCTCCTTCCTTCCTTCCTTCCTTCCTTCCTTCCTTCCTTCCTTCCTTCCTTCCTTCCTTCCTTCCTTCCTTCCTTCCTTCCTTCCTTCCTTCCTAACTTTTCCTTCCCCAGAGTGAAAAAAAGCAACGTCCCCTTTCTGATTTCCTTCCAGCGGGTGAAAAGGAGAAAGGGGAGGCTGATTCCAGATCTTCGCCTGACTCAGAAAAGGAAGATTCTTAAAATGTTTTTGCCACCTGCAAATCTTCCCTTTTCGGCTGTGTTTTGAGCTATCCATGAAAAAGCAGTTGAAAAGTGGGGAGGGTGGAAGAGCTCTGCCTTCATCAGTTTTGTCCTTACAACTTCCCTGAGAGGTAGACCAGGCTAAGGGTTCGAGAAGAGATGGCCCCCAGTTTCCTGGGTCCAAACTCAAGTGGGCAGAGTCTATTTATTCCGAGCCCCTCACAGCAGTCCTCACTGCACTGCTGTCCTCTCCATGGGTTAGGGCAGCAGTTGGGAATTCTCAGCCAGGCTGGGGCTTATGGGTGGCGTAGTCTTGATACCCATGGAATAACAGGCAGCAGAAGGTATTGTTGGTCCCATCTGGCTGTCTGAGCAAACTTTGGAGAGGTCTGGAAAGTTTGTCTCTCTCAGTTTCAGTCACCACAATAAAACGAAGATGTGGAGACTCTGGAAGAAGCGTAGAGAAAAGCAACAGAGATGTTTAGAGGCCTGGAGGCCAAAACATATGAAGAGCGATTGCAGGAACTGGGCATGGCTAGTCTAGTGAAGAGAAGGACGGGGGTGTGTGACACCATAGCAGTTTTCTAATATCTCAGGGGCTGCCACAAGGAAGAGGGGGGTCAACCTGTTCTCCAAAGCCCCTGAAGGCAGGACAAGAAGCAACGGATGGAAACTAATCAAGGAGAGAAGCAACCTGGAATTAAAGAGAAATTTCCTAACAGTGAGGTCAATCAATCAGTGGAACAGCTTGCCTCCAGAAGTTGTGGGTGCTCCATCACTGGGGGCTTTTAAGAAAAGACTGGACAGCCATTTGTCTGAAATCGCACAGGGTCTCTTGCTTGAGCAGGGGGTTGGGCTAGAAGACCTCTGAGATCCCTTCCAACTTGGTTATTCTGAACTGTGGCACTGCCAACCGCCATCCCATGCCCCACTCTTTAAAACAAGAGAGCGGGGTCTGCTTCCGGGCGCTTCAGGCCACGCGCACGCCAGGTTCAGAGTCCAACGGCAGGGCGGGCCGTTGATGGCCCTGGGAATGGCTGCCAAGGGGGGCGGGCAAGGTTCTTCCGGGGAGCCAGGAGTGGCCCTAGAGAGGGCTCAACCTGACCAGGATTAGCTTCCACAGCAGAAAAGGAACTCAGAACTACACACTGCCAAGCAAGGCACTGCTGGGGCACCCCCTCTGCACACAGAAGAGTGGGGCATGGTTGGGGCTGGGAGGGGGGAGTCCTGGGTCCCAGGGCTGAAGAGGGGCTCTTCCTGAGCCTCCCCTGCCAAATGAGCCGAGGTGGCGCAGCAGTTAGAGTGCAGTACTGCGGGCCACTTTAGCTGACTGTGTTCAGCAGGTCAGCGGTTCAAATCTCACCGGCTCAAGGTTGACTCAGCCTTCCCTCCTTCCGGGGTAGGTAAAAGGAGGACCCAGATTGTTGGGGGCAATGTAAATATATATACAGACATTGCTTACTGGGGTACACCGCTTAGAGAGTGCTTGCACTTAAAGCGGTATATAAGTCTCATAAATAAGTAAATAAATAAATAAATAAATGTATAGAGCAGTGGTTCTCAACCTTTCTAATGCCATGATCCCATAATACAGTTCCCCATGTTGTGGCGACCCCCAACCACTTATACATCACCGGGTGCCAGGGGCGTGGCCAAAGAAAAGGGGGGAAAAATGGCGGACAGCCTTGTTTGGCGACCCCCGTGAAATGGTCGTTTGACCCCAAATGGGGTCCCGACCCACAGGTGGAGAACCACTGGTCTAGAGAGAAGTTGGGAGAGACAGTGCCACGAGTGACCGCTGCACCTCAGTCAGAGCAAGAGTCTCGCACGGGGAACCCACAGCGACAACCAGGGGACGGGGGTTGCTCTGAAGGGGAGGCAAAAAACCCCCTGAACTCACCTGGCTGCCCATTCTTCCTCTTCCACAGGTGCGCATCCGGGAGAGGGAGGCTGCCTGCATGGCCCCAACAGGGGCCCCCAGAATGGGGAAAGAGGACTGGAAGGGGTTGCCCACCGAAGGGGGTGTCTATCGACTGTAACAGCAACTCCATGTGGAAGCTTGAGGTTGTTCCCGTGGGGGGGCTGTTATTTTGGATGGGCACTCAAGAGCTGCTTCGTCCCCCCGTCTGGACAATGAAGAAGAGACCAGACTGTGACCCTCCCATCTACTGGATCATAAATGGACGCAACCCACTGGATTATGAATTGATGCGAACCATTGGATGTAAATGGATGCAAATCACTGGGTATGAATGGATGGGATCCACTGGATCATAAATTGATGCCAATCCACCGGATCACATATCGATGCAATCCGGTAAACGGTAAATTGATGCAACCCACTGGGTGTACACTGATGGGATCCATTGGATCACAAATTGGTACAGTCCACTGGATCATGCAGTAAATCGATGCAACCCACTGGATCACACACTGATGCAATCCGGTGGATGTAAATGGATGCAACCCATGGGACTGCGAATTGATGCTGGGTGTAAATTGATGGGACCCCCTGGATCATAAATTGATGCAACCCGTTAGATCAGTGGTTCTCAACCTTTTTAATGCCGTGACCCCCAACCGGTCGTAAATCAAGGACTACTCAACCGGTCGTAAGTCGAGGACTACTCAACGGGTGCAGCACCGTTTACAGAATGGGACTTTTGGCGGGCTCAGCAGAGCAGAGACAGCCTGGACAATTCCTATTGGCTTTTGAAAGCCAATAGAATTAGACTCTATTCAAGAGAGTCTATTCTATTGGCTTTCAAAAGCCAATAGAATAAAAGGGAGTAGCACAGCAAAGGAAAAGGGGGAAAAAATGGCGGATTGCATTGTTTGCCGACCCCCGTGAAATGGTCATTCGACCCCGAATGGGGTCCCGACCCACAGGTTGAGAACCACTGCGTTAGATCATAAATTGATGTGACTTGTTGGGTCATAAACTAATGCAAAGGGTTGGGTTTGCATAAGGAAAGAGGAGGGGGAGGAGCAGTGTGAAACTGACTAATAGAAATTCTGTGTTCTGTAACTTGAAGCTGACTAGGAGCTTGACTAAACAATTGACCAGCTGGCGAACAGTCTGGAAGGGAAAGCGTGAGAAACTCTGAACGGCCTGGGGGTGTAGCTCATATAGAAGATAATGGAGGGAGATTTGCTGGCCAGTCTAGAAGTACTGGATGAGGGTCCAAGAAGAAAGGAGGTGGGTTCAAATCTGAAATAAAGCAATGTAGGCTACTCACCAGGAGACGCTTCCAGGCGCGAGGAGCTGTCAGCTGGTGGAACTGGCTGCCACATGAATTGGTGTGCTCTGCTTTGCTAGTGAGAGGTGCTGTAGGAGGAGGGGCAGAACTGGGGGTGGAGTCAAAAGAGAAATCAGCCTAGAATCTCTACGTAGCCACAAAAAGACAAGATCCAGCCCCGCTTGAATTCTGTCGACCCTGATCTAACGGCAAGATAGTACCAACAGTTAGTTGAGCAGATTCTTGTGCATGATATGGTCAGTAAGAAACTGGTTTAATTGAAACTTCACATGTGGTCCCGGTCTTTGGCGCCTGACAGATACTGCCCTAAGAAAAGGATGGACTAGATCAGAGGTCACCAACCTTTGTCGGTTGGCAGGACCGGAGGAAAAGGGAGGGGGATGTATTTTACACATGTGCATGTGCATGTGTGTACACGGGGCTGCGAGCACGTGTGTGCCACAAACAGAATGGGGCTAGTGCCTATATGATACTCACTGGCCCAGACCCCATTCTTACATGGCGCAGCGCCTTGTTTCTGCGCCCAGCGATGCGGTGGCGGCCGTTTTTGCGTTTTGCAGTGCAGCGGTGGCCCGTTTTTGTGCCCCGTGGTACAGCGGCATTCATTTTTGTGCCTTGTAGCATGGCAGTGGCCCATTTTTGTGCCCCGTGGCATGGCGGCATCCTGTTTTTGCACCCTGCGGTGCGGTGGTGGCCTGCTTCCATGCCCCATGGTGCAGCGGTGTCCATTTTTGCGTCTTGCAGTGCGGCAGCGGACCATTTTTGCACCCCACAGCTGCGGCACTAGCACAAGTGAAGGGGTGTGCGCGCACATGCGTGCACACTGGCCAGCCTGTCCCACGGCCAAGTGGCCAGTAGGCCGTGGCCCAGTGGCCAGTAGGCCATGACCCACTACCGGGCCGTGGCCCACAGATTGGGAACCCCTAGACTAGATGGCCTCTAAGGTGCCTCCAACCCTGGCTTAACTCAACCATTCAGGGCTGAATCTCAGAATTCAACTCTGGCTACATTCCAGGATGCTTAACTTTACTTCATGTTAATTCCTGAATTAACCCATTTTCTTGGACTGCCAAATATAGGGACGAAAATGGCTGGTCCCATGCAAAGTACTAGGCTAGAAAGAAAAGTTAAAAAACTAAACCCCCAGCCAGGTATAGGTAAGAACCTATGACCACAACTGAGCCCAAAATGTCTATTGCTAAGCAAGATATCGTATATTCCGGCGTATAAGGTGACCCCGTTTTCGGCGCCGAGTCACATGCCTAGAAAGTCGTCTTATACGCCGGAAACTACCGTAATTTCCGGCGTATAAGACGACTCGGCGTATAAGATAACCCCCGACTTCGGTGCCAATTTTACCGCTTGCGAAAGTCGTCTTATACGCCGGAAAGTACGGTAGTTGTTAAATGAGCTTTGCCCCATTTTATAGCCTTTCTTGCCCCAGTTGTTAAGTGAAGCACTGCAGTTGTTAAGTTAGTCACACGGTTGTTAAGTGAATCTGACTTCCTCATTGACTTTGCTTGTCAGAAGGTCGCAAAAGGGGACCACGGGACCCCTGGGACACTGCGACCGTCGTAAATAGGAGTCAGTCGCCAAGTGTCTTGAGCTTTGATCACATGACCTTGGGGATGCTTCAATGGTCATAAGTGTGAAAAACGGTCGTAATTTTTTTCAGTGCTTTGAACGGTCACTAAATGAACTATTGTAAGTTGAAGACTATCTCTATAAAATATTGCGCAAATGCCATTATTAGGACTTTAACCACCTTGCTGCACTGCAGTGTATGAAATTTGCTGAGTCACTCTAGCTTAACCTACCCCATAAGGCTGTTGTGAAGGCAAAACCGGGTATGAGAATTGGAGAAAAAGACCTGAGTCTCCCCAAATTGATCTCAACATTTCACGACAGCATCCAACATACTAGAAAGCTTTGTGGCTGCCTTTTTCTTCTAAGGAAATTTACGACTTCCCACGGTAGTCCTACAATCGCCTAGTGGCCTCCTTTTCAAGGAAAAACTGCTCCAGCTAATGCAGAAGGCAGCCAGACTCAACTAGCTACTGCCCTCTGGTGGGTCAGAGAGGAACCGCTGTAACAAATTGCCAGCCTTGGTTCAAAGGGCAAAACATTCCTCAAATATCCATCTGGAATTTAACAATAAATTTAACAAACAAATAAATAATTTTAGTCTTTGGACATTTCAGGCCAGGGATGACCTCAGCTCATGTATCCCTCTGGCTCACTTCGAGAAAGTATATTGCAAGTTGCATTGTGTGTGTGTGTAACTTAAACTAAACAAAGTCATGTGGCCGATTAATAACTAACTTAGTTAAATCGCTCTGTTTGGAAGTGTTTTGTTTTTTTGATTTTCTCTTGAAAACGATGGTCAAAGTTCATGCATCAATGTTTGCAATAGCCTTAAACCAGGTTGAGAAAAAAAACTCTCAGCTCCTGCATTGCAGTAATGTAACTGTCCATTGCAGATTGTGTTTTTCTCTTCAAATTAAGCCACTTAAGATGTGTGGACTTCAGCTCCCAGAATTCCCCAGTCAGCTATGCTGGTTAGGGAATTCTGGGAGTTGCCCACTTCTTAAAGTGGCTAAATTTGAAAAACACTGGCCTGTTGGCTTAATTTGGACCATTGAGCAATGAGCATTGCCAGCAAATGGGTTAACATAGGAGCAGAGTTAACAGGCTGTGTGAATGCAGTCATGGTCTTCTTTCTGAACCATGATTTACTGCACTAGAAATGGTTGGATTGTACAACACATTATTTTATAAACAATGGCTTACTAATCCCAGTGGCGTGATGATTGTGTGTTCATACTGCATGCTAAACATATCGCTGGGATCAGCTGAACCACAGTGTTTCTCAACCTTGATAATTTTAAGGCATGTGGACTTCAACTCCCAGAATTCCACAGCCAGCATTGCTGTCTGTGGAATTCTGGAAGTTGAAGTCCACATGCCTTAAAATTGTCAAGGTTGAGAAACACTGGGTGAGTTGCAATCTATCTATATTAAAACATGCTTGCTAGGGAATTCTGGGACTTGAAGTTCACCCATCTTAAAGCTGCCAAGTTTAAAAAATAGTAATTTAGAGGCTGAAATTTGTATTTTCTTCTACGTGAGACTCTGACTGAGGACCCCACAATAATATCAATCAATCTGTTTATTGCAGCCATAAGGTCAGACAGCACAGTAATACAAACTCTGATACAAGTTTGTCGAGAACTAGCTTTGAGGCTGGATTCACACATATCATGTGTGAATTCTGTCTAGTCCTTTCTCTCTCTTACATCAACACCTGTGTTCAGTCATCAAAGTAAGCAGCAGATGTTTTATTTGATTTGGGCATTACATGATGTGAGCATTCAGTGGTTCGTAGCTTACTGCACCTGTAAATTGTGGTTTGAACAGCAAATAATGGTTCAAATAATCATGGCTTAATGATGTGGATAAAACTAATAACGCATGTAACATGTACTGGCTGACTTCACAATAGCCCTAAACAAATGTTTCTCCGTCTTGACCTCTTGAAGACTTCAAGTCCCAGAATTTCCCAGCCAGCATGCTGGGAGTTGAAGTCCACCCATCTTCAAGGTTGAGAAATACTACCCTTAAACCATGCTTCACAGGGGCTGAGTTCACACAACTGGCCAAGCTGAGTTGGGCATAATATGGAAATTTAAATTTAAATCAAAACTCCTTTGGCTCAGCTGTTGGTAACTTCCTGTATTTTGGGAAATTACGGATGTGGTACATGGCTGCATCCTCCCAATGTTTTTTTCCAGCTTCCTGGTGAACTCTCTTTCAAAGACAGATCAATCCTGGCTCAACCTAGGTTGCTCACCTCCTCTAAGCCAGCTGTTAAAATGTAATTGATTAAAAAAACATAAAAGGAACTTGGAACCTTATATCCAAGGAAGAAATGACATCAGATCCAGAATGGACCAGCATTCAGCACAAGTAGTCCTTGACTTACGACCACAGTTGAGTCCAAAATTTCAGTTCCTAATTAAGACAGTGGTTAAGTAAGTTTTGCCCCATTTTACGACCTTTCTTGCCACAGTTGTTAAGCAAATCACTGCCATTCTTAAATTAGTAACATGGCTGCTAAGTGAATCCGGATTCCCAATTGACTTTGCTTGTCTGAAGGTCGCAAAAGGGGGGTCACAGGACCCCGGGAGACACTGCAACCATCATAAATATGAGTCATTTGCCAAGTGCCAGAATTTTGATCACGTGATCTTGGGGATGCTGCAACGGTCGTAAGTGTGAAAAATGGTCATATGTCACTTTTTTCAGTGCTGATGTAACTATGAGCAGTCACTAAATGAATGGTTGTAAGTCAAGGACTTCCTGTAATGGGTGGATCCAACTTAGAGTACTCTGGCTGGGGAATTCTGGGAGCTGAAGTTCACCCATCTTAAAGTTGGCAAACTGAGAAACACAGCATTCTGGGAGCTGAAGTCTCTCTCTCTCTTAAAAGTTACCAAAATAGTTGAGAAACACAGCATTCCGGGAGTTGAAGCCCACCCATCTTAAAGTGGGCAAGGTTGAGAAACACTGCTCTAAATTGTTTACCCTGGGTCCCATCTAGTAAGGTGACCAACTTTTTTACGATGAAAAGGAGGACACAAATAAATTGAAGAAAAAAATATCGTAAATAAAAGAAACATTTTATTCATTGCAACAATAATACAGAATACACTATAATATGATAAATGCATAATAAAAAACATTTGTAACAATAACATTTTATATTGTAATTATGCTTACATGCCGCGCCCCCGCCTGCAGCCGCCCCACCAGTACTGCTGCCTCGCCGTGTAGAGCGGGCCCCACGGCTCCCAAAGCACTAGCTGCGCCGGCTCCAGCCCCGGGGGGCAGCCCTCCGTCAACATACCCCACCTGCAGCCACCTCGCCAGCACCACTGCCCCCCCTGCGCAGCCCCGTGTAGAGCAGGCCCCGCGGCTACCACAGCATGGGCGGCAGCCGGCCACTGCCGCCCTTCACATCCCTGCCCGCAGCAGCCCCGCCGCCCCTGCCTCTTGCGCCCGCAGCCATTATTGCCCTAGCAGGGCCGAAGATCAAGAGAAAGTTACCGTGGCATCGCCACTCCAGTATCCTCCAAGTATCTTCAGGACTAACTAGGACAAGGGTAGGCAACCTTGGCTCTCTTATGACTCATGGACTTCAACTCCCAGCATTCCAGAGCCAGCCTGGCTCAGCTTGGAAACCTCTCCCTTTCCCCTCAGCATGGCTGGCTCAGGAATTCTGGGAGTTGAAGTCCATGCGTCATAAAAGAGCCAAGGTGGCCTACCCCTGAACTAGGAGATGGTGTAGTTGGGTAGCAGGGAAGGGTGCAAAGTTCCTGCCAATTTGTCTTCACTGCAGACAACTTACATGTGCAAAGTTTGCTGGCTGGGTTTTTTCATGCATGCTCAGCAGCAATTCCTGTTGGCTTTCGAAAGCCAATAGTGGGAGTAGCACAGCTCATGCAAAAGTTGAAAAAAAAAAACATCAAAAAAAGGTGCTGGAACACCGTTCTGAGAAAGAAAAAGCCCTGCAGATTAGTCTTCAAATATCGAAAAGCAGGACATGTAGGAGGACACTTTTTGAGGGAGGACAGAACTCGCAAAGGAGGACTGTCCTCCCTAAAGGAGGACGGTTGGTCACCTTACATCTACGCCAGTTCGGGGTCTCCTAAGGTTGCAGTGGGAGACCCCCTAACGCAATCAGCCTCTTCCTCCCTCTCCAGCTGTGGCTTTCATCTCCTTCCAGCCAGCTGCAGCCTCAGCTTGGGCTGACTTCGCTGCAAAGGGGTTTCCAGCTGGGATCTCTCTGGGCTGGCACACCCTCACGTGGCATGGATGCAGCTGCGGGGCAGGAGGTGAGAGCACAGATGTTGAGGGCTGCCGTCCAAATTTCCCTTCTCCCCTCTTGGATGGGCCAAGAGAGCCCCTCTCCTGGGGAAAGAGAGCTCCTTGGAAGCTGCAGGGATGTCCTGATGTGCTGTCTGGATTTGGGGAGGGGGCTGCAACCCCACCTCCAACATTCTGGCAAACCCCAGCAGAGAGGGAAAAGGGGTGAAGGTTGGAGCATCCCCCCCCCCCCAGCCAGGCCAGGTGACTGAAATAAATGTGCGGACTCCGGCTTGATTCTCGCCCCGTGTAACAATAGCCAGTTTGGCATCAGGACCCCAATTCTTCCTCCCTTCACCCCTCTTCTGGCTATTTTGAATTTTTATTTGTATTTTATTTCTCCCGTTCCTTTCCCTCCCTTGCACTGGAAAACATGTGCAAGTCTGCTGGGACTTTTCGGGATGTGTGGCTCTTCCCATATTTGGAAGGAAAATTTCATCCTTTTCCTCTCTCTCCCCAATCCAACTTCCCTTCCTGGCTTCCTGGCCCGGCTCTGCTGGGCGGCCTGACGTGGCCGAGATCGGAATTTCTGGCTCCGATCCTTGGAATGAAGGAAAAACAGGCCAGCGGCAGCTAAGCAACGACTCAGAGGCCGGCGGGGGCATTGTGAGGAAAAGATCCCGCCACCCCAAATGGCAGGTTTCAGCTTTCTGACAGCCTCCACCCTCCCCAGTCCCCACAAGCCATCCTCGACTTACCACAGTTCATTTAGCGACCGTTTGAAGTTACAAGAGCACTGAAAAAAAGTGACTTAGGACCGTTTTCCACCTTTGTTGCAGCATCCCCCATGGTCACGTGATCAAAACATAGATGCTTGGCAACTGACTCACATTTATGACGGTCGCAGCGTCCTGGGGTCAGTGATCCCCATTTGTGACCTTCGGACCAGCAAAGTCAAATGGGGAAGCCCGATTCACTTAACAATTGTGTTACTAATTTACCAATTGCAGTGATTCAGTTATCAACTGTGGCAAGAAATTGTCATAAAATGGGGCAAAAATTAACTTAACAACGGTCTCGCTTAGCAACAGAAATTCTGGGCTCAGTTGTGGTTGTTACGGCCACCACTGGGACCACAATTTCTGAGCCAAAGGTGTTGGACCTGATTTTACGATCTTTTTTTGCCTCGGTTGTGAAGCGAATTGCGGCAGTTGTTAAGTGAATCGTGCAGTCGTTATACGCATCCGGTCTGCCTGACTGAGTTTGCTCACCAGAAGCCGGCAAGGAAAGTCAGAAACAACTTCCAGTTGCCAAGCACCTGAATTTTGATCCCGTCACTGTCGGAATGGTGCTCCAGTCGTAACTGTGAGGACCGGACATTGCTGTTCTCATTTTGAATGGTTGCTAAATGAATGGTTTTGAACTGAAGACTTCCTGTAGTTCCAAGGTCTGCCTTGACTTATCCACCAAGCCAGCATCTTACAACAGGAAAGCCCAGCCATTCTGGAACCCGCTGACCTCAGCTGCAACGCGCAGGTCGGTTCACAAAGAAGAATTCCATCTCAGGCGGGCCGTTCAACTGCCCAGCTGGTTGAAGCTGTCATGCAAGGGGCCCAGCTGGGGACCCTCCGGAATCTGGACATGGACGAAGGCAGCTCAGGTCAGGGGGCTCCCCCGCCCATCGAAAGGGGAACTGTGGGGTGTCAAAAAAGTTAAAATGGCATCCCAGATGGGACCAAAGCTCTGCCTGATTTTTATCAGCCATGATTACAGGCTTGTTTGAGGCCCCTTTGGGAATAGTTGAGAATGTGTGTGTGTGTGTGTGTGTGTGTGTGTGTGTGTGTGTGTGTGTTTCCCAGCCAAAAAAAAGGCATGGTTTGGGGATGATCTAGGTTTGGGTTCATCTCATCCATGGAAGCTTATGGATGTTTTGCGCCAGGCTCCCTCGCAGGGTTGTTGGGAAAAATGGGAGGAAAGCATGCTAGCCTGAATTCTTCAATAGACAATCAAAATGCAAGGATAGTTTACTTGAAAGGCAAAGAAAAGTTCAATAGCTCCGTCCCCAGCTTAGTCCCACCTGCAGGGGAAGTGTAGCCCAAGGGCATGGGTAGGCCACCTTGGTTCTTTTATGACTGGTGGACTTCAACTCCCAGAATTCCTGAGCCAGCCACACTGAGGGGAAAGGGAGAGGTTTCCAAGCTGAGCCATGCTGGCTCAGGAATTCTGGGAGTTGAAGTCCACAGGTCATGAGGGGGGCCAAAGTTCCCCCATGCTGGCTCAGGAATTCTGGGAGTTGGTCCAGCAGTCATAAAAGAGCCAAGGTTGCCTACCCCCTGCCCAAGAGGGTCAAAAAAGTCAAGATGGCAGGCGGTGGATGTGTCTATATGAGGACAAGATTAGTGTTTGTTTTTTACACATGTGCAATTCACGTCGTAAAAGGTGGAACTTTGCAACTGCCATCTTGACTTTTTTGAACCTCTCCAGTGCCTGGGTGGTCTCTGCACCTTTCTCCAGCCAAGCTACACTAGCTCACTTGCTCCCAGAATGCAGTGGGAGTCATATTTCTCAGGCTCAGCAATTTTAACATGGGTGGACTTAAAGTCCCAGAATCCCCCAGGCAGCTCCCAGAATCCCCCAGAATCCACACACATGGCATTGCTGAACTTGGGAAACCCTGTTTTAATCAATTTGAAATAGGGGAAGTGCATAGGCAGCCCTAAACCCGACGATTAAAAAAATAATTATCTGGTCGGAAATACTCTGCAGATGCTCAGAGGCAGTCCCAGGACACCTCTCCCCCGCCCTGCCCATTTTCCCTCGTTCTCAAGCGCCATAGATCCCTGAGCAGCCATACACTTCCGCCTCTCTGCCTCGTCTGCCACGGCCGTGGCCAATCGGCGTCGAGGGCGCGTAGCCTGGGCGGAGGCTTCTTACAAGAGGAATGAGAAGAGGGCGAGGCCTCCTGGGACGAACCAATTAGCGCTGGGAGGCGTGTCCCTAAAGGAATCCTTATAAGGGGAGGGCGTGTCAGGCCTCCTGGCAGGAGCCAATCAGCGCTGAGGAGGGGTGTCCCACACGAAAACTTTACGTGAGGAGCGGCCGCCGTGCTGTAGCGGGGCAGGCGGAGAGGGTGCGGCTGTCCTGCTGGAGCCAATCAGCCCCAAATGGGCGTGGCCCGGGCGGAGCTATTACACAGGAAGCATCCCCCGGGGAGTTGTGGTAAGACAGTCGGAGAGCGCGCGGCCGCCAGAGAGGAGCCAATCAGCACTGAGAGGGCGTGGCTCGATGGGAGGCTTTATCAGAAGAGCATCCGGGGGGGGCGTGGCGCTGCAGGCGGAGAGGGCGCGGCCGCCGGGCCCGGGCCAATCCGCGCTTGCGGGGCGTGGCTCGGGCGGAGGCTTTATAAAGGGCGGCGCCCCGGCGCGCGTGGCGAGTGCGTGCGGGCCGCTCTCGGAGCCGGGTCGCTTGTGGTACTGACCGGCTTCCCTGCAGCAGGGCTGGGCTCGGCCATGTTCAGCTGGGTGAGCCGCGATGCGCGGCGGCGCAAGGAGCCCGAGCTGTTCCGCAACGTCTCGGAGGGGCTGAAGCAGCTCTACGCCGGCAAGCTGCTGCCGCTGGAGGAGCACTACCGCTTCCACGACTTCCACTCGCCGGCGCTGGAGCCGGCCGACTGGGAGAGCAAGCCCATGGTGCTGCTGGTGGGCCAGTACAGCACGGGCAAGACCACCTTCATCCGCCACCTGCTGGAGCAGGACTTCCCCGGCATGCGCATCGGGCCCGAGCCCACCACCGACTCCTTCATCGCCGTCATGGGCGGCGAGAGCGAGGGCGTCATCCCGGGCAACGCGCTGGTGGTCGACCCCCGACGCCCCTTCCGCAAGCTCAACGCCTTCGGCAACGCCTTCCTCAACAGGTGAAGGGGGGGACCCTGCGGGATTGGCTTTCCGGCTGCGGGGGGCAGCGAGGAGGGGAGTCGGGTCTTGAGGACTAGAGCCCCTGCTGCTAGCTTCCTAGCTGCAGGGTGGGGAGCAGCAGGGAGGGAGGGGGGGTCCTTGGAATCTGATCTTGAGGACTTTCCAGCTGCAGGGTTGGGTAAGGGGGCAGAGGGGAGGGAGATCCTTAGAGTCTGATCTTGAGGACTAGAGCCGCTGCTGCTAGCTTTCCAGCTGCAAAGTGGGCAAGGGGCAGCAGAGAGGGAGGAAGGTCTTTTGGGGCTGATATGGAGGACTAGAGCCACCGCTGCTCAACCTTGGTGGCTTTAAGGCAGGGGTTCTCAACCTTGGCAACTTGAAGACTTGTGGACTTCAACTCCCAGAATTCCTCAGCCAGCTTTGCTGGCTGAGGAATTCTGGGAATTGAAGTCCACAAGTCTTCAAGTTGCCAAGGTTGAGAACCCCTGCTTTAAGGCATGCCTGGCTGGGACATTCTGGGAGTTGGAGTCCACCCGTCTTAAAGCCACCAAGGTTGAGAAACATAGTAAAAGGAGGAGATCCTTTGCAGCCAAAGGCAGAAGCATCTTCAGTGCCCTCCCAGGGTCTAGGAGGGTTTCCCTGGTCAGGGCAAAGTATAAAATAAAGAGTTCGAAGGGATTCTTGGAGGTCCTCTAGTCAAACCTCCTGCTCAAGCAGGAGATCCATTCCTAGAAGGTAGTTTATAGATTTGATTTATATGCTGCCATCTCACTGACAAAGCGACTGGTGTAGTCGGATGCCACCAGTTTACAGAGGCATCGAACGGGATAGGGGATGGCAGAGATGTCTCTCCATCCATCTCTTGATACCAGGCCAGGTTGACCTAAACCCAGCTAGTGGCCTTGCAAAGCAGCTGACTTTACAGTGTCCCTGCCCAGCTGTGGCTAAATTCAGCTTGCGTTCATTTGCGGTTCTGTGAATGGAGTCTAGTTAATGGGGAATTGTGAGTCATCAGGTTCATCCCCCACAGCCTGAATGACCAGAATACAGAATAACAGCTGAAAGGAAACTTGGAGGTCTTCTAGTCCAGCCCGCTGCTCAGGCAGAAGACCCTGTAAGTATTTCAGACAAATGACTGTCCAATCTGTAACATCCTACAGTAATGAAGCAGCCCTTCCACTGATTAATTGTCCCCATTGTCAGGAAATTTCTCTTGAGCCTTGTCTGAAATGGCATCGCAGAAGGAGGGAGGGTTAGAGGTCAGCAGCTCTTGCAAAAACATCTGAGTAATGCCAGCCCCCCTGGGTGGTTTAACCACACAATTCTCTTCTCTCTGAATCACTGCAAACCCTGGGCGTGGCTGCTTGCAGGAGCTTTGCTTTTTTCTGCCAGCTTGTGCCCGTCTCAGTTGGCCATTCGCTTGCGCCATTGCATGGATCTCCTGCCCAGCTGGAAAATGGTTACCCTTCCTCTCCTTGGCTTGATGCTTGATTTCTCTCTCATTGGCCCTTGCGACATTTGGTCGCACTCCACCCAAAAGCATTTTGAAAACCGGGAAAGTCTCAAAATCTAAAAAAAAAAATCCCATATAAATATCAAGAAGTGAACTTCCTCCCCCCACTGCAAAATTCCATTATTCCTTTATCTGGTGTGGGTCACATTAGAAAGCTGTGGGTTAAATCTGCCTTTTTAAAAGTCGCATCAAGAGTTAGTCCATTGTTCTCTTTATTACCGGTGTTTGGAGGCGTCTGCCAGTCGTGCTGGCCAATCGGCGTCATTAATGCATGAAAGAAAAAAAAAACTCCAAAAGATTCCTGGAATGCTGGCTTTGCAGCTGTAGAAACATGATTTTTAAGGAAGGAGGGGAAAAAAACTCTGGATATTTACAAATATTAAAAATAGTTCTGAGCAAAAAAGATCCTAGCCCAGTAAAAATACATTTGCTGGTTCTCGGTGTTTAAAATCAGGGATAATAAACGGGTCCAGGGTTGCAAGCAGGCCTGGCTTAAATACGAAAACGTTTGCACCTTTTCTGCTGTGTCAGATATTGGTTTTGTGGTCTGGAAAAGGACTTTGCAGGCCTGGGATCAGCCCGTCAATTTGTAGAAGTTTCTGCAGCCCGTGTGTCAACATAACACAAACTGAACCCAAATTCTTCATTTTGCAACGCCTTAGTCTGCTGCTTTTCAAACTTGGCAAGTTTAAGATGGGTGGACTTCAACTCCCAGAATTCCCCAGCCAGCTGTGCTGGGAGTTGGTCCACCTGTCTTAAACTTGCCAAGTTTGAAAACACTGCTTTGAATTACGAGTTGACTAAACTTTAAACTTTCTTCCCCAAATACACCTGGGTTAAAAACCTTAGTGTGTTGTGTGAATGTGGACACTCTGTCCTTTACTGGTGGAACTGAACGGGCTGTGTCAACACGCAGCTGCAATGTGGGGAACTCAAAAGCAAGCAGAGCACAGGCAAGGACCGTCTGGGAGCGTCCCCGGGATTTACAGAACGGGACTTTTTTTTGTTTTCGGGATCCTTGCCGCTGGCAGAGTTTGCAAAAATGAAAGGCACCCCTCATTGCTCCTGTGGGTTGGGTGGTCGTGCACAGGCCAGTGGCTGGGCGTGCTAATTCGAATTGCATTCCTGGGCAGGCCGATTTTGTGCCAGAGTGTGTGCGCCAGGTGTCCCCTCCCCACCCTGTCCAGTCATGGGGGAAGGCCTGGCTTTAAAGAGAAAGTGATGTTCCCGGCATTCTCCATGTGGCGTTCAAAGCAGGAGGCCCTGGGGTCAAGGCTTTGGGATTGGCCTGGTTAAAAAGCAGCCACTGCAGAGATTCTAGCAATCTGGTTTTATTATAGTAGGCTATGGTAAGAGAAATTGTTTCTGTAATGATAAAGGAGAATATTTGTCCTCAGGGCTGAATGGAGGTGTCCTTGGTGCTCTCTGCATTTGATGGTTTTCTTGCAGACATTTTGCTACCCAACTAGGTAACATCATCAGTGTTAGAAGGCGAGGGGGTTTGTGGACAGGAGGAGGAGAGAAGAGGAGAAGGTGGAGCAGGAGGAGGATGCCGGTGGGGTCCTTGGTGCTCTCTGATCTTGGCCATTTTCTTGCAGACATTTCATTATCCAACTAGGTAACACCAGGGACAGAAGAGAATGTGGTGTGTGGAGTGGGGGAGGAGGACGCTGAGGGCTGTGGGGTCCTTGGTGCTCTCTGAGCTTGGTGGTTTTATTGAAGATTTAGAATAGAAATGTGCCACCTGGTCTCTTTCTCACCCTATGAAAAATTATCCTGTGGAATTCATTGCCACAAGACATGACTATTAAGTTGACTTGCATGGTTTAAAAAAAGAGATAGATAAATGTAAGGAGGCAGATTCTTTATGGCACCAATTCCCTCACGGGAATATAGGAAGTTCTCAATTTACACCACAATTGGGGACCAGAATTTCTGTTGCAAAGCAAGGTGGGTTAAGTCCATTGTGCCTGATTTTACAGCCAGGGTTGTTAACTAAGTGAATCACCCTAGTTGTTCAGTGAACCATGTGGTCGTTAAGCAAATCTCACTTCCTCCACTGACTTTGGAAAGCCCACCAAAATCTGGAAAGCCCACCAGAAGAGTTTCAGTTCACTGCCACCCCTCTTATCCCAAACAGAATCAAGGTGGGATTACACTGAGGGTTTTTTTCTTAATGCTTTCCTGTTTCTCATGACGAAGTTGCTGCAACATGGAGTTGATTTCTCCACTTTACAACTTGATTTTCTTGTGAAAACCGGATTTTGTCATCTTTGTGGGACTGCCCACTTGGCATTTTTTTTTTATTAAAAAGTTTTATAAAAAATTACAACATCAACCCACCCAAACCCCCCCTCTCCCTCCCCCACTTCCCAGGGCTGAGTACAGGGTTACAAATATGATAATCATAATCTAAGTAACATTAACCAACTATATAAATAACCAAGTCCATAATGCACTTTAACTCCCCTTTAACATAAATATAAACAAATTAAAAGTAAACGTAATAATGAGAACATAAACAAATTAACATCCTAATTATTAAACAATACAGTCCCCAAATAATTAAACAATACTAATACTAAAAATAATAATATAATACTCTAAAACAGTGTTTCCCAAACTTGACAATTTTAAGGCATGTGGACTTCAACTCCCAGAATTCCACAGCCAGCATTGCTGGCTGTGGAATTCTGGCAGTTGAAGTCCACATGCCTTAAAATTGTCAAGTTTGGGAAACACTGCTCTAAAACTCACTCATAAGCTAAATGAAACTTTTTAGTCCCATATTTATTCTGAATATAATTTATCCATCTTCTCCAAACGAAATGTATCTTTCTTGTGAATGATCCTTCAAGTAAGCAGAAATCTTAGCCATTTCTGCTAAATTTGACACTTTTAAGCGTTACTTGGCATTTTTTTTTTTTTTTAAGGAAAGGAAGATGTATTTCTTTAGAAGCTAACTAAGCTGGTCTCAGTTTCCCAAGTAAAAGTGTTGAAAGATGACTTTCTGACCCGGAGTTCCTCTTTCTCACAGCTTTGGGCTGAATGGGGATTGCAGCCCCACATTGGGTGGCCTACAACTCCCATCGCCTCTCCAGCCAGCACCAGCTCAGGGAAGGCAGATCTCCCGAACGAAATGGCTTCCCATCACCTCTGCTGCCTTTCCCAGTCTGAGTTTCCAGCTCGCCTGGCAGGGTTTTGCATGCAACTTCCCTTCTGTGGTGAAAACCGAAGCATTTTGTAAGCCCGCAAAGGATGTGGTTTGTGGCCATTGTGTGAACAATGTGTAGAGGTGTAGCCCTTGACATACGAGCACAACTGAGTCCTAAATTTTTGCTGCTAAGCGTAGCAGTTGCTAAGTGAGTTTTGCCCCACTTTACCACTTTTCTTGCCACAGTTATGTGAATTGTGGTTGTTAGGTTACTGACACGGTTGTTAAGTGAACTTGGCTTTCCCCATTGACTTTGCTTTTCAGAAAGTCACAAA